TGATAATAAATTTTAGTTAATACGAAATAAACAGTTTTATTATTCCATCAATTTGAGGTTGAGGAAAATAATTTGTTTAAATAGTAACAACATAACCACAAAGAAAACAAGAAGTTATGAAGAGAACTATTATAAGTAATACCTCAAAATTATCTTTCGTATTGAAGGTAAGGAAATTGTTAACTAAATTAACACGAATAAATCTAAAGAAAATAACAACACTTAGCTTAGTCTGTTGGTTGTAAGATAAATAAGTCCACGGGACGGGTTCTGGGATTATCAGGAACGGAAACCAAAATGATGTTTCTTTACCAGGGTTTTATGATAAAGAAATCCACGGTACGGGATTCTGGAATTATCAGGAACGGGAACCAAAATGATCATATCATTTTTTTTCTTTGAATCGGACAAATTCTTCAAATTTATCTTTTTACATAACCTAAAATGTTCGACGAGACAAAATTTGCGTGTGCTGTCCGTCAAGTTCAACATGACACTAAAAATTTGAATTTTCCTTTGTTTAATGTTGAAATTGAAAGATTGTGTTTCCTGATTGGTCAATTCTATTAACTTGAAATTAGTTTTTTAAAATGTTCTCATATTACCAACTTTAACATTTGAAATGTCACTAATTTAATTTGATTAAAAATTATTTAATTTTTTTTGAATAACTATATTTATGTATGAAATCTTGTAGTTTTAGTACTTCTTTAATATTGCTGTTCAAATATGTAATCATTTTCTTCTATATTCAACGGCAAAATTCTCAAAATCCTCAAATCTTGAGATTATAGGTTCGTTCCAACCGCACAAATTTGACTCGTCGTGTACGCGTACACGACTAGTACAGGACTTTTTTCTGCGCATGTTCGTCTGTGGACACGTTCGTGTACGCGTACATTTCGTCACCGCTGTTGGAACGGTTTTCAATTTCTATGTACGTTTTATATCTAACCCTGCCGATAGTTAGCGCTGCAACCACAATTTACCATTTCAAACGAAATCCATTTAATCATTTTTTTAACAATAATGAACTAAGGTAGCATTAATTACAAATGTAAAAAAAGCGTAATAACCCCATAATAACCCTTACTAGAAAAATGAAATAAAAATATGCATGTTTTTTCACTTTTTTGATTAAGTTGTNGAAGGACTAGACGTGGCTATAAGAAGACTAGAAGACTACTACAAATTGCTGACAGAAGATCGTATACTGCTGGCAAAACACTAGAAATTACTCATACAAGACCAGATACTGCAAATAAGACATTCGATAATGCTGTCAGAAGACTAAATAAGACAGAACATAGAAAACATTTAGTTCAATGTTTGCCTGGACCAATGATTATCAACCTGGGTTGCAAAGACGTCAGGTTTCTATAAAGAGCTTGTTTTGTATAATTTACGCCATAAATTTATTACATTTTTTTCAACATTCAAGAACCTCGATAAAAACGAGATCTCTGCAAGAACACCGTATCGTCATTGCTCCACATTACCAGGAAATGTGAAAGGTTGTTATTTATTTACAAATCTCATTACAAGCGGAAATAAAATTTAAACTTACTCTAAAACTAGTCAGACTCATACATTTTATTAAACCCGGATCTTTCATTTCAGGAATTTCGAAAAAAAATTGAGCAAATCACCACGAAAATATATTAATACAAATTTTTAGTCTGCGAAATTAAGTTTCTTAAAGACTCATTTGAATTGTGATCAAGATTGACTTATGTTAAGTGAATCTTACATAAACAGAGCAATAATTGGCATCTTTGGTAAACTTCACGATTTCTTATCTATATTATAAGACTCCACTCTCCTCAGAAATAACATTAGATGTAAGCACGTTCATAAAGATAAAATAATGTTGGTTGGTACATCTTAAATAATCATAATTGTAATTTTTAAATAGGATCGTTTGAGAGTAGTGTTTAAATAAACATAACGTAATGTTCTTATGGGTTTGGTTTATTTAAAAATTTGTAAAATGAAAATTCATAAATTTATTAAATCTATTTCTATTAAATTTGAAAACTGAAATGAATAACCAATGATAATAAAAGTGTATATAATAATATCTTAACTCCGGAACTAGCGATGTTGTCAAGTCGTTAACAAATCTTTAACGTAAAATTCAACGAATTACCAGTGATTAAATGATAATAAATTTTAGTTAATACGAAATAAACAGTTTTATTATTCCATCAATTTGAGGTTGAGGAAAATAATTTGTTTAAATAGTAACAACATAACCACAAAGAAAACAAGAAGTTATGAAGAGAACTATTATAAGTAATACCTCAAAATTATCTTTCGTATTGAAGGTAAGGAAATTGTTAACTAAATTAACACGAATAAATCTCAAGAAAATAACAACACTTAGCTTAGTCTGTTGGTTGTAAGATAAATAAGTCCACGGGACGGGTTCAGGGATTATCAGGAACGGAAACCAAAGTGATGTTTCTTTACCAGGGTTTTAGGATAAAGAAGTCCACGGTACGGGATTCTGGAATTATCAGGAACGGGAACCAAAATGATTATACCATTTTTTTTCTTTGAATCGGAGAAATTCTTCAAATTTATCTTTTTACATAACCTAAAATGTTCGACGAGACAAAATTTGCGTGTGCTGTCTCTCAAGTTCAACATGACACTAAAAATTTTAATTTTCCTTTGTTTAATGTCGAAATTGAAAAATAGTGTTTCCTGATTGGTCAATTCTATTAACTTGAAATTAGTTTTTTAAAATGTTCTCATATTACCAACTTTAACATTTGAAATGTCACTAATTTAATTTAATTAAAAATTATTTAATTTTTTTTAATAACTATATTTATGTATGAAATCTTGTAGTTTTAATACTTCTTTAAATTGCTGTTCAAATATTTGATTAATTTTCTTCTATATTCAACGGCAAAATTCCCAAAATGCTCAAATCTTGAGATTATGAATTTTCATCTAAAATTTTATTAATTCTCACAACGGACGGCTGTTTTCCATTCTTAGTATGCTAATATTATCATTTTCAATAGCTTCAACTGGATAAATAAGGATTTGAATAGGAAATTGAGAAAAAATTAAAATTGAGGTTATGTATCTGTCAGGGGGTCTTTAAAATTACTTCGTATCGACTTTACATGGGTTATATACAAAAGAAAACATCAGCGGCCAATAATACATAATTGAATTCATCAGTAAATAATGTTTTAAATTACAAAAATTATAACAAGTACGTAAGAGAATGTTATGAATGATAACATAACATTCTCTTACGTTCAATACGATAAGTCTTTAAATCCTCAAAATAATGCTTGGTTATATTATTACAGTAAGTACGAAGGCCATACACTTACAAAAGAGTACAAACTACTTGCAGAGAATACTATACTACTGACAGAAGGCAAAAAACTACTAATACAGGACTAAATACTTCAAATAAGAGACAAGACCCAATGGTGTTAGAAGACTATATACTGATATACACTAGTATACGCTGGTAATAAAATACTAGCTGCTAATAGAAGACTAGAACACTGTTAATAGAAGACTACTACAAACTGATGACAGAAGATCGTATACTGCTGTCAAAAGACTAGAAATTACTCATACAGGACCAGATACTGCAAATAAGAGATTGGATAATGCTGTCAGAAGACTAAATAAGACCGAAAATAGAAAAAATCGAGTTCAATGTTTGCCTGGACCAATGATTATCAACCTGGGTTGAGAAGACGAAAGAGCTTGTTGTTTTATATAATTTGCGCTCAAATTTATTAAATTTTTTTCAACATCAAAGAACCTCGATAAAAAACGAGATCTCTGCAAGAACACCGTATCGTCATTGCTCCACATTGTCGGGGAATGTGAAAGATTCTTATTTATGTACAAATCTTATTACAAGCGGAAATAAAATTTAAACTAACTCCAACACCATCAGGAATTTCATTACAGGAATTTTTGAAAAGAACGGAGCAAATCACTACGCTCTTATTTAATATAGAAGTACGTAGATTATTTGCAGGAAATATTTTAATACAAATTTTTAGTCTGCAAAATGAAGTTTCTTAAAGACTCATTTGAATTGTGATCAAGATTGGTGTAGTATATCAAGTGAATTTTGCATAAACAGAGTAATAATTGTCATCTTTGGTAAACTCCACGATTTCTTATCTATATTATAAGACTCCACTTTTTGCAGAAATAACATTAGGTTGGTAATAATCATAATTGTAATTTTTGAATAGGATCGTTTGAGAATAGTGTTTAAAAATTAAGTACGGTCCTGAATAAAAATAGCTAACCTTTAAAGGACGTAACCCAGTGGCGTTACAACCGATGGCGTGACGTAAATCCGATGCCACAGAGAGTTAATTACCTTTTTTTTCTGCTAAAAAGGGTTCATTAAGCTAGGCAAAAATTGTTTCCCTTAAAACTTCAAAGAGCAGATTTCAATGCGAATTATTCAGAATGTCATTTCGTGCCAATTTTTTCTCTTTAATATTGAAGTTTCTTTTTAACTACCTCTGATAACAATATTTAATTTCTTTTATACAAAAACGTTCTAATCCTTTTAATTTAATTAATTAATTCATAAAATTACAAAAAAAAATAAATTTCTTACCTTCATTTCCAGATTTTATTATACAACCAAACGTTTGATTCACTCTTCAGCTGGTGCTTCTTCCGCTGGTGCTTCTTCCCCGCCTTCTTTCCCTCCTTCACCTCCTTCGCCGGTAATTTTATTCACGATGTATTCGGCGAACATATAAAGCCACCAGAGAATAAAGAATAAGGGTGGATGTCGGAGGCAGTGGTGATAAGGCATATTTCGCAAAATGTATTCCCAATTTGGATCTTAAAAAAACAACTAACACGAGAGTTTTTAAGCAATTGTACCGAAAAAATTTTTCATTATTGATTTTGTATTTTTTTTTGATGTAAATGACAAATGGAATTTGTTTATTTCACAAGTAATATGATTAATAATAAAAAATATGTTGTCTTGATTATATTTTTATTTTCAAAATAATTTACAAAAAACTACACTATACAAAGCTAATTGATTTAATCGTATCCAAATAAATACCCTTCATCAAAAGCTTTGAACATATCATTTGAATTTCTTCTTAATCTCCTCCCGACGGGTTCTAAATCGTTATAACATTTAGAGAAGACCCTCTCGACAGCATCACGAGCTTCTTCTTTCGTAACATTTCTTACAGCCAAAACTGATTGATAAGCTTTGCTTTTAACACATTTCTGATGGGCTTCTTTAATATTAAAAACGGAAACGTCTCCTTGTAACCAAGCCGAAATAAAACTACAATGTACCAAGTTGGCCGCTCTTATTTCAGTACAAGCTAAATGATCAATATTTTTAAAATCCAAATCATTTCGGCAATAATCAAACATATGTACCATCTCATGGGATAAAACTCCTTGAACTAATCCTTCATCGGTAGCAATATTTTGGCAAACAACTATTTGATTTAAAACGGGATCATATCCTCCACTAACTTTTGGGCTACATTCTTCACAAGCGATGTGTCTACGAATATCTAAGGAACAACCAGAACTTTTTAATGCATTCATCATAAGTTTAACTAAAGGGCTATTTTTAACGCATTTATAAACGTTTCTTTCACATCTTATTCTATCCAAATTATCACGTCCCTTCATAAAAGCTTGTACCGCGCTGTGTTGGACTCCTCTTCGTTCCGGATAAAGATCATAACCCCATTCATTTCCACCTTCCGGTTTCTCGGAATGTTTTTTTTGATCAACGGCCGTCGTAGGTTGTTCCGGATCTTTTACGAAATTAATTAAAGTCATTTCTATACAATTTTTGGGTGTTTTTGATCACACTTTTAGGTTAGAATGTGCCGACTTTTTTAGGTTATGTCACGCAGATTAAATAACGTAATAATTAAAAAAAAACTTTAAATGCAGAAATTCTTTATGTAAAAAGAAATGCATTAATTCGAATAGATTTAGTTCAAAAATAAAGTTTTGGGTTTTAAAGAATGAAATTTTTGATATTGACCTTTGACATATTTGAGGTTATAAAAATAAAATTAAAAAACACTTTATATGATTATTTTATTGAAGTTAATTCCTATAAATAAACTTAAAATTTACGTAAGTAAGAAATATATATTTAAATTTGATAACTTTGTATTATTTTTTTTTAATAGGGTTGATTTAAATGTCATTCCGATGGAGATATAATTTGGGGCGCTGCCACCAATGTATCATGTATTTCCTTTGTAAAAGCAATTTGGGCATTAACTATTGCTAAATGCTGAGGATAAGATAATGTATTATCAGGAATTCCTATACTTTCACTTTTTGTGGGTGCTACTAAGAGATTTAAATATCGTTGTGCACTTTCTTGTTGACTTAAACACTTTATTGAGGTTTTCTAGAAATATAATTTAAAAAAGAAATAAAATATTAATAAATTGTTGAAAATCTTCACCAAGTTTTGCTCTATTTGATCGCAAAGTGAATAAAATTGTTCCAAATTTTTATTTGGTGATAGATATTCTTTCAGAAAATGACACACTTCTGATACAAGTTTAATTACTTCTGGCAGAAGACTACAAATTATTGGTAGAAGAGTAGAAATTGCTAATCGAAGATTGGACATTACTATAAGACAGTGTTGTCCACTAATTTTTGATCAAGATCGACTTTTTATATAAATGTCTTGCCAAGATCGACCGAAGAGTTTAAACATGGTTTAAAGTAACCTTCCTTTTTTTTTGCTCTGAGGCCCAGATATAGATATTTCAGATTCATGATTTTTTGGCAATCGACGTTATGGTCACCTCTGATTTAGAGCTTATAAATAAACAATGGTAATAATTGAGTTCAATCTTTTTATGTATCTAGTCTTTATGGTCCATTACTAAGGTTTTATGTATAAAAAATATTTCCCCATCGCTTTAAGTTTTTAAGTTATAGTTGAGTTAATTTTCGAAAATCAACAATTTTGCTGTTTAATCGATTTAGAGCTTATAAATAAAAAATGGTAATAATTGGGTTCAATCTTTTCATGGATCTAGTCTTTATGGTCCATTACTAAGGTTTTATGTATAAAAAACATTTCCCCATCGCTTTTAGTTTATGAGTTATAATTAAGTTAATTTTCGAAAATCAACAATATTGCTGTTTAATCGATTTAGAGCTTATAAATAAAAAATAGTAGTAATTGGGTTCAATCTTGTTATGGATCTAGTTTTTATCGCCCATTACTAAGGTTTTATGTACAAAAAGTTTTTCTCCATCGCTTTTAGTTTGTGAGTTACGATTGAGTTAATTTTCGAAAATCAACAATTTGGTGTTTAATCGGTTTAGAGCTTATAAATAAAAAATGGTAGTAACTGGGTTCAATCTTGTTATGGATTTAGTCTTTATCGCTCATTACTAAGGTTTTATGTATAAAAAGCTTTTCTCCATCGCTTTTAGTTTTTGAGTTATGATTGAGTTAATTTTCGAAAATCAACTATTTTAATGTTTAATTGGTTTAGAGCTTATAAATAAAATATGGTAATAATTTGGTTCAATCTTTTTATGAATCTAGTCTTTATGGTCCACTACTAAGGTTTTATGTATAAAAAACATTTCCCCATCGCTTTTAGTTTATGAGTTATGATTGCGTTAATTTTCGAAAATCAACAATTTTAATGTTTAATCGATTTAGAGCTTATAAATAAAAAATGGTAATAATTGGGTTCAATCTTTTTATGGATCTAGTCTTTATCGCCCATTACTAAGGTTTTATGTATAAAAAGTTTTTCTCCATCGCTTTTAGTTTTTGAGTTATGATTGAGGTAATTTTCGAAAATCAACAATTTTGATGTTTAATCGATTTAGAGCTTATAAATAAAAAATGGTACTAATTGGGTTTAATCTTTTTATTGATCTAGTCCTTATGGTCCATTACTAAGGTTTTATGTATAAAAATATTTCCCCATCGCTTTTAGTTTATGAGTTATGATTGAGTTAATTTTCGAAAATCAACAATTTTGCTGTTTAATCGGTTTAGAGCTTATAAATAAAAAAAAGGTAATAATTGCGTTCAATCTTTTTGCGGATCTAGTCTTTATGACCCATTACTAAGGTTTTATATATAAAAAATATTTCTCCATCGCTTTTAGTTTTTGAGTTATGATTGAGTTAATTTTCGAAAATCAACAATTTTGATGTTTAATCGGTTTAGAGCTTATAAATAAAAAATGGTAATAATTGGGTTCAATCTTGTTATGGATCTAGTCTTTATGGCCCATTACTAAGGTTTTATGTATAAAAAGTATTTCCCCATCGCTTTTAGTTTTTGAGTTATAATTGAGTTAATTTTCGAAAATCAACAATTTTGACGTTTAATCGATTTAGAGCAGTAGTGTCTACTAATTTTTGATCAAAATCGACTTTTTATATAAATGTCTTGCCAAGATCGACCGAAGGGTTTAAAGTAACCTTCCTTTTTTTTTGCTCTGAGTCCCAGATATTAGATATTTCAGATTCATGATTTTCTTGGTGATCGACTCATCGCGATCAACGTTATGGACACCACTGCTATAAGAAGACTAGAATACTGTTAATAAAAGACACAAAATAAGAGACTAGATAATGTAGTTAGAAGATTAAACACTGGTAATGAAAGACTAGACATTACTAATAAAAACTAGAACACTATTAATAGAAGACTAGAGATTTAAAAAAGACTAACAAAGCATATATACCATCTCATGTGATAATTTGGCAAACAACTATTTGATTTAAAACAGGACCATATCCTCCACTAACTTTTAGGCTACATTCTTCACAAGCGATGTGTCTACGAATATCTAAAGAACACCCAGAACTTTTTAATGCATTCATCATAAGTTTAACTAAAGGACTATTTTTAACGCATTTATAAACGTTTCTTTCACATCTTATTCTATCCAAATTATCACGTCCCTTCATAAAAGCTTGTACCGCGCTGTGTTGGACTCCTCTTCGTTNCTCCATCGCTTTTAGTTTATGAGTTATGATTGAGTTAATTTTCGAAAATCAACAATTTTGATGTTTAATCGATTTAGAGCTTATAAATAAGAAATAGTAATAATTGGGTTCAATCTTGTCATGGATCTAGTCTTTATGGTCCATTACTAAGGTTTTATGTATAAAAAACATTTCCCCATCGCTTTTAGTTTATGAGTTATGTATGATTGAGTTAATTTTCGAAAATCAACAATTTTGACGTTTAATCGATTTAGAGCAGTAGTGTAACCACTAATTTTTGATCAAAATCGAATCATCGATCTTTTTATATAACTGTCTTGCCAAGATCGACCGATGGGTTTAAAGTAACCTTCCCTTTTTTTGCTCTGAGGCCCAGATATTAGATATTTCAGATTCATGCTTTTCTTGGCGATCGACTCAAAACTGCTTTGCGATCGACGTTATGGACAACACTGCTATAAGAAGACTAGAATACTGTTAAGAAAAGACACAAAATAAGAGACTAGATAATGTAGTTAGAAGATTAAACACTGGTAATGGAAGACTGTACCTTACTATTAGAAACTAGAACACTATTAATAAAAGACAAGAGATTTAAAAAAGACTAACAAAGCATATGTACCATCTCATATGATAAAACTCCTTGAACTAACTCGTCATCAGTAGCAATATTTTGGCAAACAACTATTTGATTTAAAATAGGATCATATCCTCCACTAACTTTTGGGCTACATTCTTCACAAGCGATGTGCTGTGAATATCTAAGGAACAACCAGAACTCTTTAAAGCATTTATAAACGTTTCTTTTACATATTATTCTATCCAAATTATCACGTCCCTTCATAAAAGCTTGTACCGCGCTGTGTTGGCTCTTCGTTCTGGATAAAGATCACAACCCCATTCATTTCCACCTTCCGGTTTCTCGGAATGTTTTTTTTTGATCAACGGCCGTCGTAGGTTTTTCCGGATCTTTTAAACGAAATTAATTAAATATTAGTCATTTCTATACAATTTTTGATAAAACTTTTAGGTTAGAATGTGCCGATTTTTTTAGGTTATGTCACGCAGATTAATTAACTCAATAAATTATTTAAAAAAAACTTTAAATGCAGAAATTCTTTATGTAAAAAGAAATGCATTAATTCGAATAGATTTAGTTCAAAAATAAAGTTTTGGGTTTTAAAGAATGAAATTTTTGATATTGACATATTTGAGGTTATAAAAATAAAATCAAAAAAACACTTTATATGATTATTTTATTGAAATTAATTCCTATAAATAAACTTAAAATTTACTCCATTACATAAGTAAGAAATAAATATTTAAATTCGATAACTTTGTATTATTTTTTTTAATACGGTTGATTTAAATGTCATTCCGATGGAGATATATTTTGGGCTGCTGCCACCAATGTATCATGTATTTCCTTTGTAAAAGCAATTTGGGCATTAACCGTTGCTAAATACTGAGGATAAGATAATGTATTATCGGGAATTCCTATACTTTCACTTTTTGTAGGTGCCACTAAGAGATTTAAATATCGTTGTGCACTTTCTTGTTGACTTAAACACTTTATTGAGGTTTTCTAGAAATAAAATTAAAAAATGAAATAAAATATTAATAAATTGTTGAAAATCTTCACCAAGTTTTGCTCTATTTGATCGCAGAGTGAATAAAATTCTTCCAAATTTTTATCAAATCGAGGAATTTGTTGATCAACACCCCTCCTACAAAATTAAAAATCATCAAAATAATATTTTAGATTTAAAAAAAACTTACTGGGAACCTATGTCTACTTGGCTATTTTGATTCAAAGTTTGTGCCGCTGTTTTAATCGTATTCTGCAATGTAACAAATTAATAAATTAATAAAACATTTTAAAAAATCTCACCGATAAAGCTTCTCGTAGAGGCCCTATTAACGTTTTAATTTTTGAAATGTTATCCATTGGGGATTGAGGGGGTTGTTGTTGTTGCGGTTGAGGGGTGGGTTGAGGTGGTTGTTGAGGGGGCATTCCCATTCCAACAACGTTCATTTTAAAGATATTTAAAAAAACTTTCTTATATGTTTTGACACTTGACAGATAGAATTTAAGGTTAACTTAAAATGTTATTACTTCAAAACAAAATTCTTATTTAAATTTATTTTTTAAATTATTGTTTATAATAAGTAATAATAAAAAAAATTATTAAATTAAAAGGATATTAAATCAAAATTATAGTTTAAATAGTAAAAATTTCATTAAATAAATTTAAGGATGCACCCCACATTTGAAATACTTTGGTTTATTCGTCAAATCAAGTTTATTTTTGATTTATACTTTATTTAAAATTACTAATTAAATGCGATATTTCTTAATTAACTTTAATACTTATTATAACACAAGTTTGTTGATTTAAAAATAATAAATTTATTTTAATTCTATTTAATACTCAAATTCGGATTCTAATTTGAGCTGTCATATGGACGTAATCATATGATCAATCCTAAATTGCTGTCAGTACCCTACATTTTGCTGTAGTGTATTGTAGGCGTTGTCGTTGCTTTAAACTTCGTCGTCCTCCGGGTTCTTTAAAGTTATTTTTCTTTAAGAAGCTAACAAACCAACACCGCAACAATGGCTTTAAGCGACGCTGATGTCCAAAAACAGGTAATTAATCGATAATTTCGTTTCCAAAAATCATGTTACTTCAAATATTCGCACTTTACTTAACTAGATTAAGCATATGATGGCTTTCATCGAACAAGAAGCCAACGAGAAAGCTGAAGAAATCGATGCGAAAGCTGAGGAAGAATTTAATATCGAAAAAGGGCGTCTCGTTCAGCAACAACGCCTCAAGATTATGGAATATTATGAGAAAAAAGAGAAACAAGTTGAATTACAAAAGAAAATGTGAGTAAAATGTTTTGTGGTAACAATAGTTGATGGGGTTGTGTTTTAGTCAATCTTCGAACATGTTGAACCAAGCCCGTTTGAAAGTGTTGAAGGTTCGTGAGGATCATGTGCGAAATGTCCTTGAAGAAGCGAGGAAAAGATTAGGTGAAGTTACTAATAATTCTGCAAAGTATAAAGAAATTCTTAGTACTTTGATTTTACAAGCTTTGTATCAGGTATGTTGAAATTTGGTAATTTTCTAGGTCACATGGTTTATGCAATCATGTGGTTTATTTATCAAGTTTATTTAATTTCTTTATAAAATCAATTATGTAATTCATTTTTATTTTAGTTATTTGAAACTAATGTAAGCGTTAGATGCCGCACTCAAGATAAAAGTTTGGTGGAAAGTGTATTTTCCGAAACTGCCGCAACATACAAAACCAATACAGGAAAAGATATTAATTTAAAAATCGATAATGAAAATCCTCTTCCTGCCGATACAACAGGAGGTGTTGATTTGGTAGCTCATCAAGGGAAAATAAGGATATGTAATACTTTGGAAGCTCGTTTAGAGTTGATTGCCCAACAATTGGTTCCGGAGATTCGTACAGCTTTGTTTGGTCGCAACGTTAACCGCAAATTCAACGATTAAATGTGCAGTATTATCACAAATAAAGTAATATAAACATCCCAATTGTAGCCACTGTTGTATGTACACAGAATTTGTAAATAATTTTGTCGAAAATTTGTGTAAAAACAAAATATTCCATTCACTTGTAGGATAGTTGATTTTTGTCCGTTTTAGTTTGCAATTTTTTTTCTTTAAAATGTTTAAGCGTTATTGTAAGGCTAAATACAAGCTTTTTGGAACATTGTAATTATAAAATAATGTATTACTAAAATAACGCATGTTGTTACAGTAAATAATAAATAAAACATGTTGATTTAGACTTTATTTATTTTTTTTATATAAAAAGTTTTTAATTTTCATAAAAATTTAATTTATTTAAGTTAGATTGGTGAATTTTAATCTTGCCAATTCCCGTTTTGTTTTTATTAACACTCTGTGTCCAGGACAATCCAATTCTTCTAAAAAGCATTTATCTTTACAGCATTTTTTACAGAGCTTATTTAGGCATTTGGATCCCTAAAAAGATAATTATAAATTAGTAAATATACAGTTTAGTAAATTATTAAACAATATTAATTTTATTAATGCTAGCTGTTATTAATAGTATGGTTAAATATGCTGGTTAGAAATTGAAAGACAAGGTCGTCATCGTATTTTAACATATTTTATCCTTTAAATGTTCGTGCCAAACAAACATTTGATCTTTAGGACATTTGGCCATATTATTATGCTGTGACCAGCTGTAATAAGGTAATTTATTTTGTGTTCTTCATATTCAGTTGATTGTATGCCTTCTTTTGTGCATTCATCATCAATAGTTATTATCAATTTTGACTTATCTTCTGTATGCGGATTTATGCTTCTTATGGCTGGTTTTATCTGGTAAAGAATTCTCTCGACACTGTATCCTATTGGTGCTACTTAGCGTCTCCTATCCATTCTCGACTATCAACCCCTAATTGGTGCACTCCGACAGCCTGAGCAACCCTGTGGAAGATCGCGGTAACCAACCTCGGTGTGAAGTACCGGCTGGTTCACATTCGATGTCCGAATAGGCTAACTCGGAAACTATAAGAGTTAAAAAAAGTAGCTTACATGTCATGATCTCGTTTTTCCCCTAGAGGCCAAAATTGAAGATGTAAAATCAACAAGTGCAATTATCTTGGTTATTATCATACGTGGAGTATTATAACAAAGACATTATATGGACACTTTTTTACAGAGAATTTTATAACGTATATAGTCAAAAAACATTTTTCGGTTTTAGATTTTCGTTTTTTTAAATAGAAACAACCACTGATTATTCGCTTATTAAATTCGTTATTTTTTTCTGATTACAAAAATATAGGGTTTGACAGGTCTATTTCTTATTGTTCTAGAATAAAGGTAAAAATAAACTTTTTTTTAGTGTCGTCAAAGAAATTAAATTTACAGTTTCCTGTAAATTATAACTAAAAATTAAAAAAATATATTTCTGATATTTGAAACAAATACATTTGTTGAACTATTTAATTTATATATGTAATTATGCAAAAGTTGAAATAGATTGCATTATTTCACATTTTTTATTAATATTATTATTAAACGACTTAATAAATTATTGATAGATGGCGCTCATGTATTTTTTTTAACTCAAATAAACAGCAACATTTGTATTCAAACATTTTCTGAAGTGTCAAATTAAAAATCCTGTTTCTTAAGATGGATTACGAAAAGTTTAACATAATAGAATGTTACATATTAGAAAATAAAGTAAATTTTATATAAATTTTTAGTAGAATAATTTTTAATTATAGTATCGTAATTTACAGAAAACTGTAAATTTAATTTCTTTGACAACACTAAAAAAAAGTTTATTTTTATCTTTTATTCTAAAACAATCAGAAATAGACCTATCTAATCCCATATTTTTATAATCAAAAAAAAATAACGAATTTAATAAGCGAATAATCAGTGGTTGTTTCCATTTAAAAAAACGAAAATTGTCATATCTCAACATCTAAAACAAAAATTTTTTTTTTAACTATGGCATGAAATTCTTTGTAATAAAGTGTCCATATATTGCCTTAGTTATAATACTCCACCTATAATAATAACCAAGATAATTGCACTTGCTGGTTTTACGATATTTTCAATTTTGGCCTCTTGGGGAAAAACAAAAAACGATAGCGCTTTGAAGTTTTTGGCATTAGCAGTTTCTCGAAAAACGAGATCATGACATGTAAGCTACTTTTTTTCTTTTGTCTTACAATAGGGGGTTGAGAAAACAACCTTACCACGTAAAACAGCACTTGTTGCTGATTAGAAACGATTATAGGAACATAAGAAGTCTTAATAGGATTTGAGTACTTAAGGCGATCCCAGACGAAATGGTGAAGATAGGATCAGAACACTAGTGGTACAGAAAATTAGATGAAAATGAGAGGGAACGACTCCAAAACACATACAATCCTGCACAGTGGTAAAGACAATAAAAGCAGATTGGGTGGGTGTAGCATTTATAGCTGAAAAGAATATCAAGAAGAACATTTTAGGGTTTAAACCAATGAACGAAAGAATAAAAGCTAATGAAAGCTAATACTTAAAGCAAAGGTTTTTAACGTATCACATTATAAATGGTTGATGCAACCCAATTCCTCAGAAAAGACATCCATAAATTGACTTGGACATCGTCAAAGCAATAATCATATAGACCATGTCCTGATAGAGAAAAGATGTCAATATTATGATATGTGAACGGACCGACTGGGACTCTGACCACTATCTGGTTAGCATAGAATCTAGAAGCAGGATTAATCGAAACAAGAAATCTAATAGACAAAGAATCCTTAAGCTATATGTAGACAGATTGAAAGTCGAGGAAACAAGATTACAATATACACAAATACTAAATGAAGAGGTCAACACGGTGATAAGGGCACAGTCTGGGGAGCAAAAACCTAAAAGTACCTGGCAAGTACTTAAAACCACCGTATAGCAGTCGCAGAGTAAACAGTAGGGACAAACCAAGGGAAAGTGGGAATGAACGGTACGACAAAGATAAAATGACCAACTGAAATAAAGAAAATAACTTACAAGAACTCTAGAATGGCTACTAAAAGAATACTAACACAAACAAGTATATTCGCGAGGCGTACAGACACATATATTTTCTTCAAAAAATGATATAGAAACCAAGAAACAACTTTCGCTAATCCTAGAATGGAAACTTGTTCAGAAAAAAACAAGAACATGAACCGATGGAAACAATACTTCCAAAACCTTCTTGCCACGAATGCACTGTAGGCCTAATATGCTCCGCCATCAAATGAAGAAACGGTAAAAACTAATAAGCATAGACCCAGCATATACAACATACCGATGTACACTGGGCTGAATCCCGATTCTAGCTGGACAAAAGTAAAAAATCAATGACAAAATGAAAGGTTTTCAGGTATAAGAAATTTTCTCAAGGCTTCAGTAAACCTAATTCCACGTGAAATGTATTATTAGTAGTATGTGTTATTTGTAGCTAACAATAGTGTGTAAGAAGTTACTTTGACTAACTTTTTTTCATTAGATGATACTTCACATTTTCAGAATTTCTTTATTATGATATAATTAATAATACATTCAAAGAAGGAGAGCTATAATGAACCATAAATGGAGATATAACGAAAATTCTTCAACTAAAACTGATATCACTTTTTCATTTTCTCTTGATTTTTTTAATAAAATTTGGTATTGATCCCACTAATACCAAACTTTTGGGGTACTGATTATGAATCTGCGGTCAGAATTAAAAACTTTTCAAAAATCAAGATGGCGGATACAATACAGAAAACTAAAATTGCAAGAAAAAGGATAATTTATGCATAGCTTGATATCCGGGGGTTTTTGAGGTCATTGATAACTGGTACAGGATGCCTCCCAGCGTACATAAAATCAGTGTTGCCGCACCGAAGAAAATAAATGTACCAAAATTCGTACTGAAAATGTACTGAATTGAGAAAGAAAATAGGAGACTTTTTTTTAGGTAAAACAAAACTTGTAAAACGTATTAGTTTTTCACTGGGCTCATTGGTGACACGATGAATTTTTGATTAATTGTTTTGCAAGCAGTAAACTTTCCACGGCTGAAACGCTCAAAGATCACAAACGGTAAATTCAAAAAAAGTGATACTGCATTCCCTAAAAATGTACTGATTTTAGTGCAATTGTACCGATTACAAAATTTTGTACTGGATTGCTAATTTCACTTACTTTATCCATGAAATCGTACTAAAGTCGCTTGTTCCAATAGGGCAATTTTCAGAGGAGGCAAAGGAATAAGGACATGAGGCAGTAGGTGTGCTTGCAAAGAAAGCACTGCTCTACGCTGACTGAAAGAGATCTACTTAGTTCTTGGGAAAATCAAAAAGTGACTTGAACTCCTCACCCATTTCCTGACCGGACACTGCAGGTTACGTAATACATGCTGACGAATACATTCCTCTGTAGAGGGTATGAAATAGAAGACGAGACGGTAAGTCATATTGTTGGTGACTGTTCCAACCTCGCATACTCAAGAGATTACACTTTTGGCGTAGCATGGCCCCAAATTTCGGTTATAAAGAACATACCCTTCTGTTCTCTATTAACGTTCATTAAAACCATGGGCTGGTTTTCTGACAACTGAATGAACTGTAAATTATGGAGATGTACAAAGGGTCCGCTGGGGCCTAAGTGCTGTGAAGGAATTCACTCCCACGTGAAACTACATACATACAAGGCGATTCAGAGCTTAGCACACTAGAGAGTACTATATAAAAATCTCGGATCTTGTTATTACAGGCCTTAGAACGTTTCAGAAAGTCCCATTGAAGGAAGTGAGTCCCTCAGGACTCAGCTCAGCAAGGGAGCTAATCACCGATTCAGTGGAAGAGGATATGGTTGATGAGCAGAAGGGGAGAAGGATTCTCCGATCAAATCGGAAGATAATTTTGATTGTTAATTTTTGTGAAAATAATTCTTCATTTTACTAAAAAATGAATTACCATCTATTTTCTTTTTCCATGTTATTTTATACCAATTTTTCCCTAAAAAATATGTGAAAAACCTCAAAAATCAGTCAAAATTTTGTTCTGAAAACCAAAACACCTACTTTTTCCTTCGTATATTTTTTAAAGCTACTCTAGCCTTTTAGCTAGAAACTATTAAAATATGAGAAGATACTTGAAAATATGACTTACAACCAATAGATACAACAAGTAGATATAGAAAATAAAAGAGAACCCTGAGGTTCATTTGCTCTATACGTATAAAAAATCCAAAGTAAGTCCTAAGTCTGGAATCGAAGTCGATTCCAAAATAAATAAATTCGGTTGACGGCCAACATTTTTAATCCTGGTATATGAGTTCAAAATAATGATTCTTAATTCTAGTTTGATTGATTTTTGAATTTTTTATTAGCTTATCCACCACTTATACGCTCAATAATAGAGTGCTTTACTTCGAAATCTAAAAAAACTAATAAAAAAAAGAATAAATAATTCGTT